TGTGTGTCTGTCTGCCTCTGTGTGTATGTGTGTGTGTGTGTGGCTGTCTGCCTGTGTGTGTGTGTGTGTGTGTGTGTGTGTGGCTGTCTGTGTGTGTGGTTGTCTGCCTGTGTGTGTGTGTGGATTTCTGCATGTAAGTATGTGTGTGTAAGTCAGACTGGCTGTCTGCCTGTGTATGTGTGGCTGTCTTCCTATAATTGTGTGTGAGTGTGTTTATCTGCCTGTAACTGTGTATGTGTGTTACTGCCTGTACCTGTGTGTTTCTGCGACTATCTGCCTGTGACTGTGTGCATGTGGTGTTTATGTATAACTGTGCATCTGACTGTGGGACTGTGTGCACATAACTCTGCAAAAATATACACCTGCATTCACACATAGGCTTAAATGCATATTTGTATCTGAATTAAATACTCATCACTCACAGCCAATAAGCCCAGCACAAATACCACATACACCCAATACACGTATATCACATACAGTTAATACACCCATTACAAATATCACACACAGCCAACACATAGCATACATATCCCCTATACAATCACTTCACTCCTATACACACACACACACTATACTTGGATGACTGGGGGGGAGGGATGGCGCTGTGAAGATTTTTCGCACAGGGCGCCTAAAGGCCTAAGGCCAGCCCTGACACTACTTAGCAATACGGCTAAGGTGGATACCCCAAAACAGAGCAGATGTGTAGTCAATTTTGACTCAGGCTGGGATGTTGCCAAAAAAACATCGGGAAGGTTTTGGCCACTCCTTACTCAGGATCCACATTTATTGCAAGTTGTCCCCCCATATGTGTCACTCACTGCTAGAAGGGGCAAAAATTAAAAAGTGTGTTTGTACCACATCACCTGTCAACACCCATTACAAACAGAAACTGGATTACAGTGAATGGAACATATCTATCGCTACAAAGGATCTAAAATATTAACCAATTCGTCCGGCACTGTGGACATCCCCATCAAACAATTTTTCAACTGTAACTCTTTTGGTGTGGTGTACCTGCTGATATGTGAGTGTTGCCTTCAAAAGAAGGATTATGGAACATGTCCACTC